CTAAACCCTAAAAACTAAATAACCCTCAAAACCTAAACCCTGAAGCCTATACCGTTAAATATATTAATTCGATACAGTTTCCTCGTCGTCGTGTCGTCAGACGATTATTCCAAGTATGTCTTAAGAAGAGTTGAATAATAGACAATTCCGTGCTGTTTTTAAAATCGTTTTTGGGACCGCTCTTATCATAACCTATTGCCATGATAAGTTTGTTTCTGAATTCTGTAGCATCACCAGGTTCCTGGCCAAATCCACCCGGCAGCTGGAGCAGGACGTCTACGGTGCGAAGAGACAACGTGGCAGTGCCGGCCAGGTCCAGATGTGAAGCTGTTGTCTCAGCTGTGCTGTGACTATGAAAATCGCCAGCTACCTGGCCGATGCAGTTTCAATGGCTCCTTGCTCTTGACAGAACTGGCCGCAGGCTTGAAAAAAGATCCGAGTTTTGTGCTCTACTGTTTGTCGAACACTCACAGTCAGGCTGCAGTCAACCGACACCAAAACTACGTGTGAGATGCACCGTTGCACAGCATGCTATCACGACAGAATCAGGAGTCCCATTGTCGTTCATAGAATGTGACTGAGAGAAGCAGTTCCTTGTGCTGACAGAGACTGTATTTTGCATGTGTTGCCTGTCTGCTCCAGGAGGCAAGCAACGATGTTCGGAGCCTCGTCGTGTCTCCGGCGGACACGGCGGTAAGGACAGACATCACCCCGTCCCCGGTGACGAGCAAGCCTTCGACCTTTGGGTCGGGACCCGTGGCACGGAAGAGAAAGGCTCGTGGTGATGATGATGATGTGGAAGATGGACTTGCTGAGCCTCACTCTGACATGAAGCCCCGTCGCCTAGCTTTTGCTTCGAAGTCTAGCCTGAAGGAGACCGACCCCCATCAGGGCAACGAGGAATCCAGTTCCGAGAACATGGATGACGACGAGGATGTGGAGCTGACTGGCCAGCGCCAGCGGGCTCTGGAGAACATTGCCGAAGAGGATGCTGATGTCTTCAAAAACAAGTATGCTTTGGCCCTCCCTTCGGCCGCCCCTACAAAGAAGAATGAGCTTCAGGCCATCCAGGACGATCCTGGTCTACCGTCGCCAAATGGTGAGTGGTCCCAGCTCCCCGAGGGCATCCGTGTTAAGTTGGAGAAGATGGATGCGGATCTGATTGAGGTCCTGCCGACATCCTTGCCTCCGTCTCCTGCTGGCATTCAGAACACGTGTGGCCTTCGTCCTGCAGTTTCCTATGTCCTCTGGTGGTGTTGCTGTTGCTGCTGTTTTCTGAGGTCTGACTTCCCACACTTTGTGGATATACTCATGGCCGAGGGTATCTTGAATTTGACGGATGCCACGGAGCTCATCTGTGATCTGGAAGGCTTCTGTGCTGTAATGGTATGTCCTGTAAGCGAGGTTCTGGCTGGTCCGTTCGCTCCATTGACACTATTTAATCCGAGGAAGCTGGATGGATTCTTTGGGTGAGAAGAGCCAGATCTCACGTGCTAAGTTAACTTTGAGGGGAAAGAAGATCCTGTTGGAATGGCCGAAGATGTTGAAGGTGACCTGGGCTGCAATTTGGGTGTCTCCACTGCAATCGGTGATTCCGTGATTCAGTGGTTGATTGACACAGGCAGCCCAGCCGGATGCCCGAAACCACGGCTTCGACGACGAGTGATTGTCGCAAACAGTGGCAATATGTGTTTGCTAATTAGTTTCATTCATCTCATAACAAGAAGAACCACCCAAAATCTACCCACCCTGTTAATTCAAGAACTCAGATTCAGGTTGCACGGCCACCATTTTGTGTTAGCACACGTGAAGCTGTGTGCCTGCTCTTCAGCACACCAGGGGACAGCTGAAGTTTGCAACGGACCAAAACTTGCAAAGCTTTCAAATCAAAAGGGTGTGCCGGCTTTCTACGTTTGGTACTATTGTGGCTGATGAAGTTTCTGCTAGGTAGAAGAACAGCAGTATTAAGTATATTGAAGCAATCGATTGCATGATTTCTGGATCCTTTTTGGCCGGGTCCTGCTTCTCGGCTTGACCAACGGAGTAATATAGTAACATGACATGGTTCATCATGGTACTCTTGCAATCCTGGAAAGAGGTGTTTTGTGTTGTGAATTAGGCAACTGTCAGTGTGTGTGGAAACGACATAGTCAGCATGGAACTTGGTGGCCCTGTTGTTGTAGTGTTGCAATCATTCAACTGAATGCAAACCATGAAGTGGTTTGGATTCTGGAGAAAGGTTTTGCAGCTGCCGGGAATAATAATAATAAGTCGAGTCATATCAATACTTAGTCTTTGGCGGCTGGATTTGCAGCCCTCCTGTACTGGCAGCAATCAGTGGGATCCGTGGCAGCCAGGAGGCCGGGCACTGTTGTGTGATGAGTACAGGTGAATCATGCTCCAAGTGTCGGCTTTAGTATAGGAGCAGCACTCGCTCAACCCCAAACCGGTCGGCCTGGGGCCAGGGATTTTGGTTCTGGCTGGTTCGATTATATTTAGTAGTGGGGCCTTGTCCTTGGGTACTTTTAGGGGAGGGTTGCGTTCCATCTGGGGGTTTGGGCCTGGCACGAACGTTCTGTCTGGGTCGGGGTCTTGGCCACGTGCTGTCTCCAGGTCCCACGCGTTCTGTCTGGCCTGGTGTTCACGGCACGTGCTGGCTCCACGGCGTTCTGTCTGGACGTGAAAACCCGGTCTCACGCACGCACGAGGCGCGCACCAAACAGCTGAAGCAGAACCCTAAAACGCGGAATTGGTTAGATAAGCGTTTCTTGGGATGCCTCGAGGAATAGCTGCCATTAGTGCGTTCTGTCTGGAGCGTTCTGTTTCAGCAGTTAGGTACTCGGCACGTTGCCGCACGAGGCGCACGCGCAACGGCTGAAACAGAACCAGAACCTCACGCGAGGCCAGATGGAACTGGGTTCTGCAGTTCCCCTTGTGACCAGGCACACAATGGATACCTGGCTGACCAGGAAGATCCAGGAGCTGTCCACGCCGCTGGGCTGGGCAGTTTGGGGCATTGGTGCGTTCTGTCTGGACACTCAACGTTCTGTCTCGTTTGTGTGCTATGAGGACCACGGACGATGCCGCAAAACAGGATTTGCTGCGAGTGTGCCGGACATTTCTGACGCAAATCGACAAGAGGATATTGGCTGACCAGCCATTGAGTCCCACCATCGGGAAATTATCCATTGCTGCTTGGGATGCCCTTGGGCCTCAATTAATACGGGATCGCGAGCCATAGTCTAGATTAATAAAATTCCTCATTGTGTTCTTATAATAACAATAATGATAATTCTTGGTACTCTTTTCATTATGGTTATTACAATAGTTCTTATTTATGACTAATCAAGACAGCACGACTGATGCTACTGGGATGATTATTGCTCTCGGAAAAATTACTATTCATGCTCCTGATTCTATACTTGTCATTGATATGAGCCCTCCGATTTCTAGTCCGGGTCCGTCTATTTTCTTTCATTGTGATTATCGTTGTTATGTCTTGTTCTTTTGTTTTCGTCATTCTTCTTTTTCGAACTATGCTTCTTCTTCTTGTTATTCTTCTTCTTCTGTCCTTTACAAAGATTGAATCTCAAGGGGTGTGGTTTGAAGACAGCCAATCTAATTCTAATTGGACACGCAATGCAGTGCAGGCTGTTGTGGATGAGTTCCGTGGAAAAGCAGCCAGTGTTGGATTGATGTTGCGACCCGCCATGCATGGCTGGCAAGCTCCAGCTGAGCCGAAGCAAGAGTCGCCACAGACTGCCAGCTCTACCTCACCCAATACTGACTCTGTGGAGTACTCTGACTGCCAAGTAGGATTCGTTCGAACCAAGATCGGGAAGCTGGGTGTCTTGCAGCTACACAAGGCAAGTTTCAATACCATGATTTTCGGTCTGTGACTTAATTAAATGCAGTGCCGCCTCTAATAATGGCCGCAAGACAGGTGGAGGACCTTCGTCCACACTCCTTCGGCTATGCCTGGCTACTCCGAGTGGAAGAAATCTGGCCAATGCTAGCTCGCACGCAACCTTTCCACAATTGGTTCTGCAAAGCGAAACTTAATTGCAAACTGAGTGTGCACGAAACAGAAAGGAGCAGGTTTTCCATTCGCCTCCTTTTTTGCCAAGACCGAGGAACACGACAACTGTGAGGCAGCTTGCAGAGGCATGGCGGGTAGATCTACGGCGACACATCATACGGCCTTACGACTACAAAGGCAAAAAGATTGACAAAGCAGAGATCCCGGTTGTCCTTCGGTTCAACGGTGTCACATGCCCTGGATACCTGCTCATGGATGCTGGGATCTGATTAAGCTTTTTCCTTGGGCCATTGGGTTGGTTTTGGGTTGCAACTGACACCAGCCACTGACTAATTAATATAATTCGCTCTCGCATTCGTGGAGTTTAGGTCGCCTGTGTCCTACAGCAACGCGGCTGTGCGCCGAACCATCAAAAGGCATCCCTTGCTGCTATTGAACTGTTCGCCGACACTCTGCTTCCGCCTGACCTAAAGATCGATTTGCTACCCAACGTGCCCGTCTGACTCTTGTCTGATGACCTAGTCACCTTTTTGATGTTTCCCTGAGGAAAACATTTAGCTAGTGCATCTTGCTTTTGTGCAAATTGAAGGCCAGCTGCTAGTCGCTGCTCACGAAGTGAATTTGGAAGCTTGGTCCGCTACCTTGGATTTCCTTGGAGTCACACAAAGGCAGGACTAGCAGAACTGAGACGCGATAATACCAATATCCATGTCTCGTGTGCAACCAGAGAGAGGCAGTGTCCAGGTGGCAAAAAACAAAGTTGTTCCCCACGGCGACACAAAAGCTGCAACGAGGACAATTTGACAATTCATTACATGCTCTGTTATTATGCAATATTCCATTTGCCATTTGCTCTCTTGCAACATGAAGAACTCCCTTCTGCTCTCACCAGTGCTTCCTTGATCGCAGGAATTCGCTTGGGCACCGTCGTCTGGTTTCTCTTGAGGATAAGCCTGGACGAGAAGCTGTGCCAGGCTTGTCATTGGATGCTGTAGTAAGACCTTGTTGTGGAGTTATGTCAGCAGTTCATGTGAGGGCAACCATGATTGCAGGGACGATGCGACGCAGCCAGAATGCAGAAACGGGTGATCCACATCATATCGCAAGTGGCCGAAGACCATCTTGACACTATTGTCCTGAAGCAGCTTCCCGAAGTCAGTGGCACGGATGAGTTCCATCCGTGCCGCAAGCTCCTCAGCTGCCTGGCAGTTGTGCACGAAGTTTGCTTGGCCATTGCAACTGCGACGTGTTCCCAAATTCAGGAGTGGCAGATGCCTCCGCAACAACGCGAAGCCGAAGCA